GAAATCACTCAGCTAACAAGTGGCCAACGTAGAATGTGAGCCCTGGCCCATCCCACAAACAACTGGCATCCTGTTTGCTCTACAGAGCGTTCCCCGCTGCCCCGACCCTCGTAGTGCCCTGTCTACTTGTCCGTTCCCCTCTCTGGACCCTGAGCTCCTCCAGGGGGCCGCAGCCTCCATGTTGAGCACGTGCGCCCACAGGACTGCCGGGAGCTCCGGCGCTGCTGGAAGTCAGACCCCAATCCCTGTGCCGGGCGGTGAGCGCCTGCACCCTCTGGACGGCGGGACTTGGGCCAGTCCCTCCCACCTGCCGGAGGGCCCGCTTTCCCGCCTGTAACGCCAGGGCTGCAGGAGATCTCCCAGCTCTAACCTCAGCCCACAGCGGCCACAGGGGAGAAGCCATTAAGGGCAATTTCACATCTGCTGTTTGGAAGCGACCAATTCATCAGGATGTGGAATTAATTCCGTTGAAGCTTAAAGTCCCGGCGACCCTGAAACCAGCACCCCTTGTTAGCATCTGGTTAAAACGTGCAGTGACTGCAGAGCTGGACGCATGCCCAGGCCCGGGCCGCACTTCCAATCCCGCCCCTAAACCAGGGGTGTGCAGTTCCAGAGACCTTCGTGTGGTCTCAGGACCCTCTCAGAGCTTCCTCGTCTTCTAACGGGCTAGGAAAGTCACCCCAAGGCGGGGGCAGGGACAGGAGTGGGAGCCCACGGAGACTGGGGCTGGCCGCACTGGCCCTTGGGCCTGTCCATCTGTCTAGCCACCGCTGAGAACAGACTGAGCTCCAGGAGCTGCGCTCCCGGGCGGGGGGCGGGCGTTCCCAGCTGCAGTCCGGTCCTCAGACCCCAGCACTTTGTGGGGCCTGGCAGCCCCTTCCCCTCTCTGGGCCCACCGAGGGCTGCACCGGTTGGACATCTCAGACCCTCCCAGTGTGGCCTGCAGGCCTGGGGCAGGCCTAGAGCTGCTTAGCACACACGCCACGCACCACTGGCCGTGTTCTAAGTCCATCCCGTAATGCACCCTCAGTGCTTTCTACAGGCGTATACTTCCTCCCGGAGTCTTCAAGTGAAACCGAGGATCCGGGAAGATGGGCTGAGTTGATTGTTCGCAGTGGCTCCATGTCCCCACAGGTCAGGTCCCTCACAGGACTCAGGCCAGGACAGAGGGCAGCCCTGCCCCCTGACTCCCAGGGAACCCCAGCCCGGCCAGCCCTCCCCCAGGGGGCCTAGAACTGGATCCTTCAGGCCTCTGTGGGCCCCTGGCCTCCCCAGGGAGGGCCTGCAGGAAAGAACAAAGCAGCTCCCCCACTGCCCGAGGTGAAATTAGGGAAACACTTACTCTCAAAACCTCAGAGAATTGATTTGCTTTGGGATGGAGAGAGCCTGTTAGCAGAGGATCGACCCAGAGACCCAGGAAGTTGCAGAAGCCCCACAGAACAGAGCTGTGCTTACCAGCTGGATGCATGAAAACCTCGGGACCCATGGGTCCCCTCCCCATCCCGCCCACCCGACAAGCCCCCTGATTGATTCTGCCTCCCAGACACCCTGAAGGCCACCCCTTCCCTCCATCCCTGACACCCACCTGCCCTGCCCAGCCTCTCTCCCCAGCTCCAGCCTCCCCCGTGTTCCCCCGCGGGCGGCTGCAGCAGCCTGCTCACACCGGCTCACTCAGACGCACCTGCTGGTGTGGGCCTGCAGCAAGGAGCACGGGGGGCCTCTGCCCAGGAACATCCATTCTATGGGGCCAGAGGAGGAAGGCAATAAACAGATAAGCAAAAATGTAACTGTGTCAAAGGCCGTCAGGGCTGGGAAGAAGAATGAACAGATGGGGGGTGGAGGCGCAGGGGGATTGCTGTCTCAGGGAGAGTCGGCGTGGAGGCCACTCAGACACGATGATGCCTGGGCTGAGGTGGGAAAGGACGGAGGAGAGACTGCTACGTGCCTGGCCGGGGGAAGCCACCTGCACTGGGTTAAGTAACGTCTCCCTAAAATTCCTGTCTACCCAGAACCCGTGAATGTGACCTTGATTTGCAGACAGGTTCTTTGCAGGAGTAATAAAGTTAAGACGAAGTCCTACCAGAGTAGGATGGGCTCTAATTCAACGACTGGTGTCCTACAAAGGAGGCCTGGCAGACACCTAGACTCACCGGGAGAACGCCACGTGACAATGGAGACAGACTGGGGATGCCCAAGATTGCCAGCCACCACCAGAAGCGAGGAGAGAGGAAAAGGACAGATTCTCCCCTAGGGCCTCCAGAAGGAGCTGGCCCTGCTGACACCCGGACCCCAGGCTTCCAGCCTCCAGACTGTGGACAACAGACTTCCATTGTCTAAAGCCGACCCCTGTGTGGGACTTGGTCACAGCCGCCCAAGGAACTCATACAGCATTCCAGGTAGCGGGAGGAGCAGGTGCAAAGGCCCTGAGGACAAGGTCGCCCTCCTTTCTCCTCTCTTGAAAGGGGAGGAGGGATCTGTTTGAAGCAAAATCCTGCCACTGCGTCGTCAGCTATCAAGCGGTCAGGGACTCCTCACCCTGCAGGATAATGCAAATCCAATTCCCTCAGGAGCCATTAGCCCCAAGTTCCAGGCCACCTGCCAGAGACGGAGGACATCATTCGTTCATTCATTCACTCCTTCATTCAACATTTGTTCAGCTCTTTTGTGCTTTAAGTTTCACACTAGGACTGGGAATTCCAATTTCTCTGTTCAAATTCATTGCTGTCACACATGTCTATTGAGTATCTACTGTGTGCCGGTCACTTCATTCCATAGTGAGCAAGACAGACGCTGGCCTGTCCCATGGGATGACAGGCTGGCTGGTGAGACAGGAGCAAACAGATCGTTCCAGGTAAGCAGTGATGCCAGTGGAGGCGTCCAGAGAACGCTGGGAGACTCTAGGGGGCCGTCAGACTGCTCTGAGTCAGGGGCCATCGTCAGCTCTCCCGGTCCCACGGCCCAGCTAATCCAATGCCCCATCTTGCTGAGTCCTCCTCCTAAATTGCTTGTGCTCCACCCCAACACCTCCATCACCCCCAGGGCAGGCCCTCTTCATCTCCCACCGTCCCTGGGGGTCCCGGTGGATGACAGGCTCAGAGGAGAGGAAGGCTGATGCCGGCTGGGCAGACTTCAAGGAGGGGTGTATGAGTTTCCAGTGGCTGCTACAACAAATTGCTACAAACTTTGTCGCTTAAAACAAGACCTGTTTATTATCATACAGTTTTGGGGGTCAAAGTCCAAGATGGTCTTATGGGCTCAAATCAAGGTCGCTGCACCTTCTGGAAGCTTTAGGGGAAAAATCCACTTCTTTGCCTTTTCCAGCTCCTAGAGGCTGCCTGCATTCCTTGGCTTGTGGCCCCTCCTCCATCTCTAAAGTGCATCCCTCTGATCTCTGCTGCCATTGTCACGTCTCCTTCGTCAGGTCTTCCTCTGACTGCCTCCTAGAAGGACCCTTGTGGCTGCAAAGGGCTCACCTGGCTAATCCGGGATAACTGCCCCACCCTCATCTTCATCACATCTGCAAAGCCCTCTTTTCCTTGTGAGGTGACATATTCCTAGACTCCGGGGATGAAGATGTGACAGACCTGGGGGGCACTGAGCCAGGTCTGAGGTCCGGCTGGGAGCAGGAGGGATGACAGTGAGCTGTGAGGGAGAGGGCAGGGCCAGAGGCTAAAGACGCAGACGGGGTGAACGGCCCCAGAACCCCAGACAGATCAGCCCCCTGGCCACGGGGGGCTGCTGAGCACCCAGGATAGTGGCAATTCCTCCGAACGGAGACACCCTGTAAGTGTCAGGTACACACTGATTTCAAAGATGCAGTAGATAAAAAAGAGTGTAAACTATCTCATTGTAATTTTATACCAGGTACATGTTGACATAATATTTTGGATATACCAAGTCAAAGAAAACTTATTATTCAGATTAATTGCATCTGTTTCTTTCTGTCATTAATAGAGTTAATTTTTTCAAAGCAGTTTTAGGGTCACAGTTCAACCGAGAGCAGGGTACAGAG